TCTGAAACGAGTAACATGGAGGTCCGTATAGAGACGTCAGTTGCGTGTACGATGATGCCTTTGACAACGGAACAGCATCGTATTCGTGGTTACAGCGCCTCCCTCACGACGACTGCTGTGTCTGAAATATCGTTATCGAACATGACGAACTGACGAGATAATACTGAGACGCTCGAAGATTCCTCTTGTGAGAAGAAGAATCAAATATATTTTTCAGAAAAATAACACAAGGTATTGGCTGCGGCTCACCCCTGCTGTGTCTCAGTCAACGCGTAAGAGATGTTCCCGATGATAGGTTTCAGTTTGAAGTGTTTTGGATGTCCTGACAAAACAGAACCGTACAGCTCCTAATCGAAACAGCACCCACGAAAGCTGTTACGAGAACAAGAAATGAAAGGAAAAGAGATCGGAAGTTTCGAAAAAATTCGGGAGTTCTCCGACAGACGAGGCTTTTCCGATTGCAGAGTCAGAGGCGACTCCCTCAAAGTTCTCTAGCTGCTCTGCTGCATCTATGTAACTTCAGAAAATGAAGAATCTTGCGGAAGCGACGAGAGCTCGGGCCGCGAGCCGCGACGTCTTCAGCCTGGCCATGCCTGCGAATCAGGATGCCGACTCATTTAGGAATGGAGCTTGCTTGATTGGCTCGCTGCTCTTCAGTAGGGAATCCGATGAGTCATTCTTTCTAGCACCCCTTCGCCGATCTGTTATTTGCATTCGAGCAGTCTGCTCAAACCTTCCAAGAGTTCTGGGAAAAACGTAGCTTTAGTCATCCAGGGTGTGCGCGTTGGCTTCAACGAGGGGTTCGCCGTGTACGGTCGGATGGATTGCTACTTGTGCTTCATCGTGATCGTACTTCAATCAATCATCTGAATCACTGACTGAATTCGATTGTTTTTTGCGCTGGGTGCGGTTCTGCCGTTGACGGCGATCTTCACCTTCACTTCAGAAACCCACTACGGATCTGGTAGTCAGGATCGAGAGCAGGATGGAAGGATATGTTGATTCAGACATGCTGCTTGACACGACAGCTGTTCCGATCGAGTGGAGGAATATGCAGCATTTTTCGTCGAGGCAGCTTTCCAATTTCGCCACAATGAATCCTTGTCATGAGAGCCTAGAGGACAATGCCGCTGACGGCGACGCCCCTCTCATGGAGTCAATACATGGCGAGCACTTGAATCGATAACGAAGAGATCTCCCGAGTCAGCGTGTTTGATGGGAAACGCTGGAGAGCGCGGGAATTTCCTTCGAAAAGGAGTCGAAGCAGTCCGAGAGGTCTCATCCCATTCAAATTATTCTAGAACGATTCTCAACGCGCAGAGTCGTCAAGGAAATCCATGAGGCTCATTCCTGACGATTAGAGCTCAATGAGCTCTTCTCCAAAGATTGCCCTTGCGGTGAAGGCCTCCGATCGCGTCGACCTGTTTCGGGGCGAGGGTGTTAATTGGATGAGCAACCAGTGCGCAGATGAGTGGAAGAGCAGCGAGTGGTGTCAATCAACGACCATTTACATTTGTTGAAGAATTCCAATGTGGTTTCTGAAAGATTTTCTGCCTCCGGCTCTCAAGCCAGTTGCTCACTCGCCCCGCGGAGAAGAAGAGTCAACCTTGAATTTCTTGAATGAAATCGAACTCCTACGCACGTGCCACGCTTAAATTACGTGAATTCTGCCGAGTTTCGCTTCTGGTCGCTCCGACACAAAGAAGCTCGAGTCTCGCTTCCTCCGTAGCTGCACAGGATCATCACCAATCTACGCGAAAACAACACTCGACCGCTGCTAGAGATCAAGTCTGGCCTTTTCGTAGACTCGCGCGTACGATCCATGCCATTGTTCATTGGAATTTGCGTTCCTCATCCACCGAGACGACTTCAAAAACAAACCTCATCCATCCTCGAGCACCATCAGCGAACATCGAATGCTAAGCCATCAAGTCGAATCTATCATCGTTCCCGGAGACTCCACCGTGTTTTGAGAAACTCTTTTCCGGGGAGCGAATATTATCCACGGCTTCGGCACATTGTTCTCCTCGGGGGCAAAACGTCTCTGCCGATGCTTAATCTACAGGCCATGGATACCGAGAAATTCCTTTTACACCTCGGGAAAGTATTGACAGATATTCCAAAGAATCACTTTTTATGTGCACGAAAACTTTCGAAAAGTGCGTGTAACGAAATTAGTTTTTCGCGATAGCCCTTTGTCCCGGTTTACGATTCCAGAAGAGACCCATTCCCATTGTATCTTTTTTCACTTGACCGATGTTCGTCAAGGAACAGAAGCGGCTGAAGTCGATCAGGTAGCGTGAACACTGGCCGTACCCCGCGCGTTTGGATCGAAGACGTCTCCAGGCTCATGCGAACGTGATTCGCGATGAGGAGCTCCGGGCGGAACGCAGCACTGCGTGGCGATCGCTAATCGAAAGCTTCATTTACATTTACATGAACAACTGAAGCAATTAATGATCGAACTTTCGACGCGGATTGTCGGATGTTGGTGTCATTTGACGGGAACTCTGACTGCATTATTTGAACAGAAGAAACAATGAAGAAACCAGGAGGAGCGACCAAGTCCCCGATATGCTCCGAACAGGAAATAGAGTTTCTGCTGTTCGCGAGTGACTTTCGGCTGATGTCAGTCTGGTTCGGGTGCGCCGCTTTTAATAGAGCCGAAGATTACGTCACGCTGCGAACGAGAACGGTCAGGCGTGACATTCGCCTCCAGAATACACATGTGCTTCGAGTGATAGGTCGAGCGAGAACCCGAAGTTTCTGGTTCGGAAGATGTCCGCAAATTCGGTGTATTAGTCAGTAGCGATCGTCCGGCGGCTAGATTCGGTTTGTAGACACGAATTATCGACTTTTGCGAACCATTGACCTGGAAGTTTGGTTTTAAGGTAAATAAACAAACTACGACACGTGACGTCGATCGTGTCCACACGGGCTCAATTCACTGCGCATTAATTTCAATCGCTAACAACAACTGGTGATGATGTTTCTGCGACGTCCAGTGTCCTTGGCGTAGCCTGCCCACTCATATCAATGGATCCGATCCATGAATGAACGTAACCGAGGAAGGAGTCTACGGGAAGGGGCGAAACTCGTACGTACGCTGTTTTCGCTGTCGTTTCGTGGAAATGCGCGAAGACGTTGCATCGCGAAGTTTCACCGATTTCCGGTGAGACGATGAGTAAGCGTTCGCTCCCGCCGTCTTCAACACGGTCGACAATCGCAGAGCTACGTGAATGAGTGGATGAGCAAACGAGAGATTCTGGTTCGTGTTCTTCTTTCCGCGGAAATTCTAATGGGAGTGGGGGCGAGTCTCCACGTTTCCGAACTATTCTGTTTTTCTTCGCTTCCAAACGAGGAGCTCGTTACGTCGGGCGACGCACGCTCGAAATTATGATCAGAATCCGCCCAGGGAGAAAATTGACGATTCAAAATTCAGTGAAAGTGATCGGAGAGCTGACAGAACTCCTATTGGATGCGGGAGTCGCCTACCAGCTACTAGGTCCTACTCGTATGCGGTGAACTTGTTGCTGGTTCGGGGTACGAGGGGAGAAAGACGGAAGTCATGGGTATCCTACATCTCGCCGCGATTTGGAATTCCCGCGGATGAGGCAGACCAAGAAGAGTCTGGTTCAAGGAGCCTCGACGGATATGCGCTTGCTCAAAGGCATCGGGCGTGCGGCCGGGGGCGAGGCCCACCGCCGGAGTCCTGTTTCAGTCTCTCCTTCCCCTCGGGGGCCTCGTGGAGGAACTGACTTCCGCAGTACGACTATGGGAGCTCCCATGGTGTCCCTGATTTTCGAGTCGAGTTCTCCAGGCTCCACAGGTCCGAATTCTGAGTCTGAAGTCTAGCGCTTGTGAGCTGGGGAATATCGTCACAAGGATTCCGGCCTGCTCAGATCGTTGTTCGTAATCCACAACATCGAGGGGTTGGAACCTGGGGAGAATCGGAGAGGAAAACTCTATGCGGTCCCTCGCAGGCCCTGGGAACGATGAGGCTTACGCCTTCAATTTCTCGTCTGCTCCAATATCGGCGTCTGATAATTAGCTGCTGGATGCTCACACACGTTCAGCTTCTTCCTCGTAGCTCATAGAACTCATAGACGTATGTTCGTACCCCAGGACACGCATCGTATATGCATCGATGTTCGAGACAGGACCGCGTGTTGTTTAGTGGTCGTGGTTGAACTCTCGGTGTTGTGATTTTCATCCGCTGGGCGGAGCGGAGATTGAGATTCTGGAACGAAAAACACGACGCCTACGGGATTTCGTTGGGGCTACGCTGGAGAGGCTTGGCGGCTTATGAATGAAGTGTCTTTTCTGCGTGGGTTTTACTACGGCGACGTCGAGTCGGGCCACTAATGTTAACCTTGCTTCGGAAGATTGTGCGTGTGGTGGGTAGATTCCGGCCGAGCAAGCGACGGACCGGTCTGCGGCGGCTGCCGCTTCGATCTTTCAGCAGCGCCGCGACGACTCGCAAAAGAAACGACAGCGGTCGCAGTCCACCGACCATCACACAAGCGTCGGCAAAACTGAGTCGGCAGTGGTCATTAGGGAGAACCGAACAATTAGGAATTCTCGAAAAAATATTTCCACGAGATTAAACAATCGAAGCGACCATGACTACGCGGTTCAGAGTTGGCTTGTGGCACTGACGCCGTCTTGTTCAACTCAAGCCTTCGGGGTTTAGTTGACGGTTGCCCGAAGCGCTGGTTCGTGAGCAACACCAACAAGTGTGAGACCGACCGCAAGATCTTGGACCTCTCCGACGAAACGCGTCGCGCCATCTCATGAGCGGATGACGACTCAGGACTCAAGAAGTAGTCCGAGTGGAATCCCGAGGGATTCCCCAGAATGACTGAAAATCGAACTCGATTCAACGGCGAGTCCCTGTCGTCACCGGCGCTGCCTACTGTGTAACTTCCTCTGTTCCTCACGGAAATCCAACACAATGGACCGAGAGGCGCAGGATCACTTATGTTTTTTTCTGCCCGCAGGTGGAGACCTCAGGCTCTGAAGATGAGGAAGAGTCGGAGGATTCGGATTCGCCGCCGCGGGAAAATACTCAAGCGGGAACTTCATCGAGCGCGACTCAGGAAGCGACGGCCTCGAGTAAGTTTCAGCCGGAACCGTCCCGCAATTCGTTGTAGGGCTCTCTGTAGCTCTCACTCCGAGCGGACTTTGCCCAGCTTCATTTCTAAACTCGTCTGCATTGCAGAAACGCCAAACGTCGTCTTCCTGCCAAGTGTCCTTACTTCAACGGAAGAACCTGTGAGACAGGCTGTCATGCTGCCGAATGGCACGATTATAATAGCAGGAGATCCGACGAATCAAAGATCCACTTCGACGAAGACTTCGACTCCAGATCAACGCTTGAGAGAGAATCAGGTACAGAATCTCCTGTGATACGAAACACGCATTTCCGAGACAACTCGCAACCTACTCATTATCATCATTCGGATGTTCACGCTAGTTACTGGCAGATCATATCGATATTTGGAGTTCGCGCTCCTCGAGAGCGGGTCATAGCCATCACTTCTTTCGCAGAAGTCATGAGCTTCGGAAGTGCAGCCATAGCCCCGAAACATTCAACTCCTTGGTGATCTCCGTACGACGAAGCTTTCTTGGAGTATGCATCTAGGGCGTTATAAGGACTCATCGTTGATCCGAATTCGAGTACGGGGATCGTCCGAGGGAGTCGGAGGTCTCTCGATGCTGTCCGCGACAACTAGATCAGCGCTGCTGAAGAAAAAGCGAAGACGTTCCTGACTGGACTTAGGGAACAAATTGTGATCGACATGAGCAGAAGCACAACCACCCTGGCCGAAGAGGAGTACAAGAGCCTTGTCTGTATCGTGGCGCAATATAGAGTACAGGGCGCGCATCGAAATAAGCATGATTTGATGAGCTCGAAACGAATACCTACGTTTCAGCGATGTCAGATGTCAGGAGTGTGTCGAAGAGCAGCTCGCGTTCGGAGCCGAATAAATCATAATTGATATTGGGAAACTTCTTGGCTATTCATCCTTCGTAGGTTCCCCTGCGGAATTCTTCAAGTCGCCCCATGGAATCTGATATCAGGAAATCGCTCGCCCAGCATCGCTCTGCCTGCGTAAATCAGTCATGGATCATAATCCTGTGACTGGTAGCGGCCGACTTCGATCGAGTGTTGGGCTGATTGAAATATTTGATGCACCTGCTACCGGTCGGGCTTCAACGGATCTTACACAAAAATCGCCCCGCGCGTCGGCCCTCTATTCCTCAAGCGAAAGCAGCCTCCTCTAGAGCAGTCTAAGGGTGCTACAGGAGCAGTCTGTGGAGCCTTTGCCGTTCTCTGGAAACAGAGAGCCCTCACAGGCAGCCGTTCGACTCCTTCGAGATATCCCCAGGAGTCGAAGGGCTCTGATATCGGGTCGACAGGCAAGAACCGTGTATCGCATCGATTGTTACGAACCTGGTCGGGATCGTGCGAAACAAAGAGACCAGTCGCGGAGCGGCACCGTTCATTGGGACAAGTCGAGGTGTCCTAGGTCAGTGGTTCCCAAACTCTTTCTTCCACAGGGATTCCGCAGGTACACTTCGGGGTTCCGCGGAACCCAGTTCCGGGAAATTCTGGCGCGTCCGCAGAGGGGGGGCTAGGGGGCTATGGCCCCCTCCCCTATGCGAGGACCCGATCTAGCCCCCCCCCTTCCTTCAAAAAGGATCCTGTGGACTCCACTGTAGGTTACATGATAGCATGACGAAGCTACATCCCAAACGTATTCGCGGGTCGACCCTTCAGCAAGCTTCCCCTCCCCTGGTACCGTAGAAGAGGTAAACGACGGGGAATTCGATAGCCGCTTCGAGCATCGAATCAGCTCTGGACGGTCCGGGTCAATCGGAGACGAGTCACCATGTTTTCGAAAAGCGCAACATCTTCCCAAGCTTCGGAATTCGAATTTTCCCGCCTCGACGAAACCAGAAAGGTATCTAATAGCGGTCGGATTATACCGCGCTTCGGGTATGTAGAGCGCTCCAGGGCACCTTTCTGTGATTGTTATGCGCTCCCGTCGGCGAGAAGATATATCTCTCGAAACCGACCAGGATGGAGGACGGGGAAAAAAAACTCGATAAGTACTACTATGACCTTTACTTCCCCCCTCTCACTGGGGAAGAGAACTTCACGAACTCAACTGTGAACTACGCGGGCTGGGGGTTCCTTGGAGGCCTCTCGACGGGTGCATACAGGAGTGTCATGCGAGGACGTCCTCCGCTCGCAGGTAGGTCATCTCTCATCTTGTAGAACAATAGCTCGAATGTGCTCTCGGTTCCTTTCATGAAGTCTGCTTAGGTCTTCTGCGAGAATTCGCTCTGCTTCAATCGGAGGAACGACCCCATCGAGGAGAGCCGAACGAGATCCCACTGGGAGGGAAGGAAGTCGCGGATGCTGTACTCTCGAAAAGTGCTCGGAAGCCCGTCCCTGATCTCGGGGCTCACGATCGCCTCGAGTCAGAAGTTCCTTCGGCGAGCTTTGGGTTTCAGCGGGAGCTCGAAGCGCTGTTTCTTTGTTCTGGAGATGATATCACGATGTTCTTCGGAAATCATACGAAGACCGAAATTTTGATTCATTTCTGTAATTTCTAGGTTGGCCGCTATCGCTACTCATGGGGGTGGGACTCGCGGTGGCTGCAGACGCTTACCGGAGAGGCTTGCTGGCCTACAAGGAATACACTGTCCGCCGGGCCTTCTACTACATGACGCTTCATCCTGAAGATTTCCCGCCGCCGGAACGAATCAAATTTGCCGATTACTGGGACACGTGGGAAACGAACCGTTGATTCAGGGAGCGGAATCCCGTCGGGTATACTCTACTGCACCTAGAATACAAGAACCTGTATGTGAATGAATATATAAAGTCTGTGACTGTGACAGCGGCCTGTTCTTTCACCATCTAGTGGGACTGGATATCCTGGGTTGCCGAGTCCGTCGGCCTATCACTCGGTACCTCCACCGGTGATGAAGTCTCCGGGGCAGCCGAGGGCGGGGGGATTCTTCCCTCCTGGGCTTTCGGTGGTTTGAGTTCTCAAGGAATAATTGATCCTATGTGATTGCAATCCAGGACAATTTTCGTGTCCGTCATCCGAGGAACCTTCAAGGGAAGAACTGGTCGGTTGCGTATTTCCTCCTCAATATTTATTTCTCCCATACAAACTAAGCCGTGACCGTCGCGGTCGAATCCATGCAACTCGTGGAGGCTTATCCGTTAGAGAACAAGACTCGTCGTTCGGTGTTACAAATGATTATTATTTCGGGTATGAGGTTCCGCAAGGAGGGGTCGTCTCGTATGTACATTTCCTCATTGCAAGAGACCGAAGAGACCGAATAAGACCGGTCGAGTGTAACTTCTTCCCCAATCGGCCGAGTTCATTTTTCGACGACAGATCCCTCGCGACGCTCCGTTCGCATGGATTGCATTAGGTTCAGTGAGAGATGAGGAATGGAAACACCACTTTCTCTAAACGAGCTTTCGAAAGGTGCGAGGCGTCCGGGGAAGCATGAATGAATCCGGGGAAGCTTCCGAATAGACTAATCTGATGACTGGGAATAAGAGAAAATTGTACAACATGTACAACGTGGCCACGGATGGGACGGCGCGGCGCAGCAACTGGAAAGCAAGCGACTGCGGAAACACAGCCTCGAGCATAAAAACAAAAACGCAGCGTATTTTCGTCCCTTAATTTGTATACACAAAGTATTATTTCAAACGTTCATTGGTGTAGGAGTGAACGCGAGTGTGTAGATGTGACTGTCACCTTCCTTGGTCGGTCGGTCGGTTGGATGATTCGTTGATTTTCATTCCCGCACCGTCTTGCGAAGTCAATGTTTTTCTTTAATTTATTGATATACTACGGAATATAATGATATTATAGTAATCAAGGTCTGACGACGACATTTCCGAAGCCAGTCCTCCGGGCGCTTTTTCTTGCAGTCTCAGTATATTCCAGGGAGTAACGAATTGATGATCTGCTCGACTCGGGCTCTTCTCGGCGCATTCCTCTCAGCAAACGTTGTTTAGTTTGCTTTCACGGACATGGTACGATGGATCAGCGATGATTGATGATGAGCCGTTCGCTCCGATGGCGTAAGACATTGCGACAATTTCCCTAGAAACATTTTACGAGGGGGGTGGCGGAGGTGGGGGTGCACTGAGCAGCGAAGCGAAATCGATTCCGGTCTCGCCGGGGGGAGCGTCGTCGCTACCTTCGGCCCCGGGAGGCGGCACCATCGGCGGTCCGCCGGCGTACATCCACGGTGGCGGAACGCCGTACATTCCAGGTGGTGCTTGTTGATTCCACGCATGCGGGGGCATCATGTGACCACCCATACCGCCCCAAGGAGGCATCGTTTCCATGCCGGAAGTCGATTCGGATCGCGAGCCCGGCGGCGGTGGCCCTCTCGGCGAAGGACCGCGAGGACCTCTGTTCCACTGCCCGCGTCCAGAACCCCAGTTTCCAGACCCACCCGTCCCCTGTCTGTTGTAGTTGCGCCCGCTTCTGCCCCAACCGCCTTCAGATCTCCATCCGCCTCCGTTGCCCTGCTGAGAACCGTAACCCGGCATGGCTTGCGTGCTTGAAGCATTGGAGCTTTGGCTTTCGTCTGTTCTCGATTCATGAGAGCCCCCTTGGATGGCCTTCATCGGACCACTTCGACCACCAAGAACTCCGGAACCTAAAATAGAATCTTCGTGTAAAAATTTGATTAGGGATATTTTCGACAAAATATCGCCATTCGTCACGAAGGGAATCTCACCTCCTCCGAAGTTCCTCTGATTACCCTCGGAACCTTGAGTCTCAGGCGGTGGGCCTTCGCCCAACTCAGCCATGAGCGACATGTACTCCTGGTCGATTTTAGCGTTTTGAGGTCCTTGGGGTTTCCAGTTGCCTCCCGTGCCGCCGGTGCCCGTTTTGTTTCGACAATCCCTCGCGATATGACCGGCACCCCCGCATGATGAACAGATGACATTATTCGTGACATTGGGTTTGTCTGGACACTGCCACGATTTGTGTGTCGTCGCTCCACAGTTGTTGCAACGCATGAACGCTTCGTCACCTTCGCGAAGAGTTCCGTTCAGGAGCGCTAACTCGCGGAGCTGACTCCTGCGCAAGTCGTTTTGTCCTTCAGGAGTCTCTATCACGTCCTTGATGATCTGCGTAATTTTCTTCACAGCTTTCTGAACGACGTCGGTGGTCAAGCCGGAACACAAGGCGTGGAGGGGTTCGTCTTCACCGGGATGGGGCTGACCGTCCTTACCGACTTTTCCCTCCCGAGTTGAGCCCTTTCCGCGGATCGTGATCTTGGCACCGGTATCCTGGCGGCAGAGGGCTCGTTAGGACTCGATGAATTCTGATTTGTCTGACCATGGGGTGGAAACCAGTTCGAGCAGGATATACGTTACTTGCGATAAACTTGCACAACGAACCTTCTCAAGCGTCTTCAGGGTATTCCCTCTGGGCCCGAGTAGAAGTCCAACGAAGTTTATATCTGGATACTGTTCTTGAGGTATCATGACCTTCTCCGAAATTCGGATCGACGGCGGCTTGTAGTCGACCGGTGGCTTGAAGTCCGGATTGATCTTGGTCATCTCCTGGACGAGGTTGTGTCTCTCGTCTTCCAGTCTCTTGCGCACACGGAATTCCCGGGTGTTCATTCTGGATGGGAAAAAGTCGACAATTAGGTAATGCGTCGATATCAGAGGCGGAACGGAGAGCGAGAGTCCAGAGACCTATTCAATGCTGGACGCAGCCGCCGCTACCTTGCCCGATCACGGAAGATCTCTGGAGCACGCAACAAAACTCACCTTTTTCCTGCTGAATTGTAAATAGGCTCCGGCGAGGGTGATCGTTCGTCTGGGTTCGCCGGAATTCCCAAATCGTCCATTCGCAACCTCCTTGAAAGTTCCTCAATTTGAAGCTGGAGAAGATACGCTCGCGTCTGATCCGGAGTCATGTTCCCTGCGGAGAATCGTAAGTCATTTCGGGTACACTCCGACGGGTTCCGCAGAACCTGTACCGACAGTCGTTCTTTTCCAAACATCGATGAAAGTCTGAATGGCGCGGACATGAAGCATTGGGTCGTGAAGACTCGACTCGCAAGATCGTCAGGTCGCTTCCTTCAGCCTCCGGTGCATGATAGACCTGCTTAGCGGAAACGGAAACCTACCAGGTAAGATTGTAGGCATGCCAGGAATGAAGACCTTATCGCACTCTCCGCCAGCCCAACGGGAACGTTTTTTATTGCGACGTGCCTCCTTCGAATCCTGGGAGTTCTCGTTGACTGAAGTGCTCTGGAATGAACCATTCACAAAATAAATGTCTCGGGATTCGAATGGGAGATGGGAAATTCGCTTCCGGAAGTCAAACTTCGCAATAACCTCTCGAAGCTCGGAGCGTACCACATTGTTGGTGTCCCATGCCGGACGGGAATCTCGTTCTTTGCTTCGGCTCCTGCTCCTGCGGCTTCTGTCTCTGGAACGACTTCGGCGGTCTCTTTGGTCGCGGCTCTTGGATCTCCGGTGTCTATCTCTCGATCTGGACCTTCGACGACGGTCTCTGGAACGCGAACGAGACCGTCGGCGGCGATCGCGCGATCTGCGGAATGAATCGAACGTCTGAGACTTTTTTCCTCGGCCGTCCGAGGGGAGAAGAGGACATCATCGTATTCGAAATCGCGGGAGTCATCAAGCCCTCCGATGAGCTCGGACTCGATTACGCCGTGAGGCGGCGAGCCGATCAACCGACTCCATACTATCATATCCCGATTTCGCCAACTATAAGCGGGCAGGACTGATCCCGGGTCGACGGAGTTTCCCGGCGAGTTGCCCCGATCCGAAAACGACATAGAATATACGGCATTGGACACGCAGTGGGAATATACGATGATGAAAGTGCATACCGCACTTCGCAATAGTCACCAAATTCGAGGGAGGAAACAGCACATTCTGCATCCAGAGGGGAATGGTGCTCAGATGATCGGAGTTTAGTGAATGAGGCAGAACCCGAAATCGATAGGAGTTCTTCGAGAGAAATATGTTTCGGCGCCAAACAATGCATACACAGAAAATCTACCGGAATATTGTTGGAAACCCAAGAACGACCGGTTTATGCCGTCCGCGACGTTCCATTTCCTTCGTTTCATATCGACAGCAAACTTCACCGGGACACTGTACGAGGGGATCGGACAGTTGCCCTGATGACTGACGAGGCCATGGCAATGTTTACCTGGATCGACTTCTTCGTTTCCGGTCCCTGCTGCGGCTCCGTTTCCGAGACGACGGCGCAGAGGCGTTCGAGTCTTCGGTTAGTCCGCTCTGCGAAAGCTCGTTCTGCATCGTGTACTGACTCCCATCGGTATTCTGGAAGTTTGACTGATTCGAAGGGAAATCCGGGTACTGCTCGTAGCCGGCGGCGGCGTACTGCATCTGGTATGCGTTGGGCACGAGGTTAGGATCACGTTCCTGCTGTGTTTGAGGTGGAGGTCCACCTGCCGCGGTGATGTACGACGGCCTGAGTAAAGATCCACCGCCTCCGCCGCCCATAGATTGAGTGGAGATCGGCGGTCGGGGCCCAGAAAAACGGGGATTCCCGAGCGGGGTTGTGTTCGCCCCGGTAGCCATGGCTTACGGCGGGCCGGTCCCGAATGGATTTCGACGGTCAAGAGGACTTCGTTCGATGCCTTCGTCCGATGTCAATCACAGCAAGTACATCGAGAGTTCACTTGGACACCGCACGTTAAACTGACTAGGAGAGCTTTTCGGCAAACCTGGAGCCAAAACGCTGCTGTTACGGACACACACAATCTCACTCAGCGCTCGGCCGAAGTTGGATTCAGTTGGACACGCTGAGGAACACCGACAACACCACACACCACCGCCGCCGCCAACAACACGCAGCGCCCCCTCCTCTTCTTGTCTACTCTGAGATTTAAATTCGCTCTATACGGGCAGACGATCCGAGTTTCGTATGCTTGCACGAATGATCGGAGTAGCGTAGAATCTGGTTTTCTCAAGCCATGTCCATGGAGGAAGGCGCACTGAAGGAATGCAATATCAATTTCAGCAGAAATCTGAAATCTGCCTTCGGGAGAGTGAGGGGAATGATGCTGGTGATCTTTGCTGGATTATCGCGAAGGATCGGGCGGTCGTCTTTGTCTTGTTCGATTACGATTTTGTGCTTTCACTCAGGCTTTGCTGCGAGCATCAATCGAGCTGCGTGATTGGATCTACATGCATCCCTCGAAGAGCGGCCGGGATTCAGACGATCGGTTACCAGGTCAAAATTTTCTGCTAATGCCTTTTAGTGAGTCGGGCGCTCACTGTATGCCACGCTTCATATCAGAGTGCCGGAGAGCCTCACGCATTTCCGTCCGCGATACGACCTGCGATTCAGGTACGGAGCTTACGGATCACGTCAAGCCACCGGAGTTCCAAGGGTTGTACTCCTCGCCGAGACAGAGGGACAAAAATTCTAATGGCTAAACAGATGAGAGGAACGAAACCGTTGCTTTCGCTACGTGAAAAGTCTGAACATTGTGTACCATTCTCAGTTTCGTCTTCATTCACTTTCCTCTCTCCTGTGGGGGAGGCCCGATGAAGAACTCGAAACTTCGCAGCTTTATGGGGAATGATCGTGCCCTCGGCGAGCAGAATCTTCATCTGACGGGACAGCACGCCGGACTCCGCTAGAAAAATTGCGATGGATGTCGACAGCCTGCAAATGAAACGAGGGCATTCTTTAAGGCTCGGTACTCGGCATCGAAGCGTCTCTTCGATCTAGGAATCCAGGGGAGGAATATCCATCGCTTCATCCAGACTCCACCTGAGGAAATCAGATCGACGGCCTATCTCTGCTCTCTGCGAGGAATCTCGACTCAGCAAAGATAAGGCCACGAGAATCCATCGCTCTCAACAGAGCAACTTCAGGTGCCGAGTGTCGACTCATGAGTCCGAACGATTGTAACTCGACTCTTCTCGGAATGATGTGTCGTACGTCGAAAGCAGTCCCCAGATCGAGATCAGCGATAAGAGATGAACGGTCATTCTCTGAAATGAAGGACGTCGCGAACACAGGAGGACGTCATCTATCAACCACTGAATGAGCCCTAGTCAAGCTGCGAGATATCTGCGCTCCACGGAATGGGATCGAGAGTCCGGATTCCCTGCTTACAGCGCCCCTCGTCGAGTGGGAAAAACTCCTATTGGGTTTCTCGATCATCGGGGGCGGAACAATGACGGGGATCTCAGACAAGGGGGAATATCCGGGCTGGGCCTGCTCCCTCCCGCTAAAAATCGAAAAGACGCCGACGTCTTTTAGCGAGGAAAGCTTTGCCGATCCAAGATTTCCAACTGCTCGAGCTTTCTCAAGATCACCTGAGGATTGCGACGCCGCCGAGACCCTCTCAGAATGATTATTGACATTCGGACCGTGGTCGTGCGTGGTAGAGGTAGAGCACCTTCTAGATGGATCTACCGTGCCGTCCCGTTGAGTTTCGAAAATGCCGCCATCGTGGGGCGAGAGGAAACCACGGTGCGCTGTCCGGCCATCGCTCGCTCGCTTGCCCGTTGGTGAACAATCGAGGCTTCCATCTTTAGTGTTTGCTGCAAGTCTCTCTCAGCGGCAGCACGCTCGCAGAGGTGAGCGCGAAGTGACGTCGACTGTCAGATGATATTTCCTCGGTGATTTGGTGTTACTGTGTACTTCCGGAGGGATTCATCTGCCCTCTCAGACGGGGCACTGGCGTGCGTAGAGCTGCATTCCGCTCGTAGGATGTCTTGTTATTGTTCGGGCACTTTATCTCTCTGAATGTAAGTATGGAAGGAAAGCCAAGGAAGAAACGTGTGTCAAGGTCCAGTGTCCCAGGCCGAGGATCCTGCCGCAAATCCGGTGATCGCTCCCTACTCAGACGCGGGGATGTTCCTCTGAAGTTCTGCAGAGATTTTCGGTTAACTGCTACGCAGACTAACAGCGATGATTTGGGTCAGCGTAACGGTACATCCCTGCGAATTTGACCCGCAACAAAAAACTCATGACAGCTGCTTCCTCGGAGGTGCCTAGTGGGGAAAGTCACTCGCGAGAACACCCGGGCAGTCACCCGGAAGATTGAGTAGTCTGAGAGAAGTCTGTGGAAGCTTTCGATCATTTCGCGCTGGCTCTGTCGGTCGACAGGGATGTTGTTGAGCTTCAGTGGGGACTATCCGCCTGCGATTCCGACGTGGAAGATATCGATCTCGAGCTAGTTTTAGTACCAGAAAAGTGTCGCATAGATTTGCGTAAGCTCTCAGAAAAACACCTAGGAGCGATTCTGTTCGCTGAACCACAACCCTCCTTGCTGTGAACGCGGTCCACCGGCAGAAGATTCGCAAGGCTCCGATCCAGCAGCGCGGCGTGCTTACGAGTCTTCACCGGTTTTCCGTCTCAGAGCGTCGGTCGCTCGGCTGACTTCCCTGACGAGACGATATTCTGGTACTGACAATCGTCGCAAGGTCGTCCTCGAAGTTGAAGTTACGCTCGAGATGCGTTGTTACGATCTGGACATCGCAAGTCGCTCTGTTAAATGTCGCTCGAAACGAGGGCTGCCCGCGACTCATCGCGATTCAGGGGTCCCTGAGGCACCTCCTTTTGCTGAACAACCAGTTGCTGAACATCCAGAATCAAACATCTGAATTCCCAGCCTGTCTATGGAGCATGCTCGAAGCTGGCATCGCAGAATTGTCGCGTGACGTCGATTTTACGCTGCTGGTCGGGATCTTTCGTCACCCCTCTTTTGACGTCGCAGTCTCTGGAATTATCGCTTCGCTAGCGGAAGCCCAGAGGCTGGACGGCTACATGAGATTCTGCTCCCAGAGCCCGTCTCGATCAGAGATTTCTCGGCGACGACACGACGCTTCTGCGACCGGGTGTAATGCACCGCAATGATGTCGTGACTCCACCCTGCGTCCGTAAACTCTATGGACCGCTTCCGGCTCATGTGCGTTTCCAATGATTATACTACGCACATCCTGGACGTAACGGCGAGGACCGGCAGCTCAATGTGATTTTGAGGTCGATTTACGTATGAATTACTTTCGGACTAGAATGCTTCAAGAACTCCGAAGTGCTCCCTTCACTGGCACCCAGAAATCAGAGATATCTTGCCCATATCTCGTAGCTCCGTAGCTCTATACTGATCCGATTCCTCATTCGTATCGCTATTCCTCGGAGCTCGGTCATTCGGGCGGGGGCTTCACGAATCGACGACGAGCTCGGTCGGGTGTGGTCACGGAATCAATAGAGCGATGGACAAATCCTCCTGGGTCGTTCCCTGAAGTTATCTACGATGTGAAAATTATGAGAATCCAGACCGGGGAAAGGCTTCAAGTGAAACTCCGTGTAGCGCTTCACCTCTCGAGCTGACAAGCGCTGTTCCAATCGATAGTCTGCACTGGATTGAACGACGAATCTTCGCTTCTGTCCAGGTCCACCGCAGCCAGAAGCATTCCGAGTCGCTGATATTATGCCTGAGCAGCCTCCTCGACCGCTGTATCGAGAACTCTAGCGCGTTGATCTGACAGAATAGATCCACGGATTAGCGTTCTCATCGATGGATCCCATGCACCGGCTGTACTCCTGTGATGAAGGGGAGGGGCAGGTGCGAAGCGAAAAATGTTCCTTCATCCTACGCATTCATCGTGCTCGGTGCTCGGGAAGTCCGCAAGGGGCCGAGCTCAGTGACGTATCGAACGGAAACGAAGAGGAAACTCCCTTTTGGATCGAACTCATACGCTGATCCGCGGCATAGGCCATGTGCCTCATGAACTTATGACATGTTATTATAGCGATTCATTTTGTCGGAGCCTTGGACATTCCGATAGGTCCATCAGCCTTCTTCCCTGAGGACTGCGGAAAACAAGGGAGGAGAATTTTCTCGCTCAAAATATCATCAGCCTCGTATTGAATTTGGATTCTCTCGGAAATAAGACGACTACATCTCTAGGACTGAACGATGGGGTCCAACGTCCAAAAGGTCTAGCGAGAGAATAGACGTTTCAGAACCATGCTGTATTCACATCCGCATCGCTCTACGAAATGAGTCCCCGAGCGTTAGCCGCCGGAAGCTCGACCAGAACAGGAGAGAGGCGTTTATCGCTCGAGGTCTGTCTCCGAGACAGATGCATGGAGCGTAGGAATCCATCATAGTCCAATTGCATTATAGATAATGAAAACTTCCTGGGGTGCCTTCACTCTTAGATATCCTCACGTCGGTCGGCTTTGATCTCTAGCCTCCAGAATTAAGCTCAGGAGCAGCGTTAGCCCAGCGAAACCCTATCACAGGGAAGAGGAAATTTTGCCAATCTAAACCGGAAGCTCCATCTAAATCCACATCGAATCTTATCACAAGGAGCTCCCTCCGTCGCAGGTAACCGCCGATTCACTCCTCGAGACGACGAATAATAATTGGAATACGGGAATGTGGAGAGCGCGCCGATATGATGGCATCGGTAGCTGCTCTGTGAGCTCAGTCCTTCGCGAGAGGTGCAGCCTAAGAAACAATGGAGGGCGCGTTCAAAACAACCATCAGGTTATATAGACTATCCTTTATCGAATGAGATAGCTTGCGTGGTAGGAGCTCCAGCTACCGATGGACAAGCCGCTTCAAACTTCCACCCTCTCCCATCATAAAGCTACTGACAAGGCATCGATCGGTACATCTCGCGTTCTTTGTTGACGGTCGAGTGTTATGTGGCATGTATCCTTGAGTGAAGAAATCGGGACAGATAATCGATTTTCCTCGTACAGCCAGAGACTTTATCCGCGTCAATGATTTCCTCCGTATGGGTTTTCCCCGGAGCAAGAAGAATTTGTATGCGTATGCCTAGTTTCGCCCCCCGGAACACAAGAGCGGATGATGAGATGCTAATTGGTCCAAGTCACGCTCTCCTGACGTTTTTCCAGGTCGCACGAATCAGGTTTGCGGTATGTTCTGGCCTGTGCCCACATCCTTCGCGGAACATCCAAACTCAGAGGAGCAGTTTTTCGATTGTCATCAGTCATCACATTCGTCGAATGCTCTCATCGACACAAGACTGAGCTCTCTTCTCGTGTGGATGCGAAATTTCGTAGGAACCATTCGACATGAAGGCAGGGAACTCGTAAGGAGCCGACTCTTCATCTGAGCGAATCAAAAATTTTTCGGAATGATTTGAGTTCTCTCTCCCGCTCCGATGGTTCGCGAAGGGACAGGGGTCAGTGATGCATTTTACTCGAAAGGGCGCGTCATTCTCCGCGGTAAGGATCCCCGCGATGCGGGAGAATCCGAATTTAGAGTCCTGACTCGAGTCTGTCACTTGATCGCGCACGCAGGCAGGTCGTTATCGATCTGTTTTGGTTTTTTGTCCTTGAGCCGACCGTGACCGTTGCCCTTTGCACGCAACGTGTGACAGCAATATGAGCATCAATCACGTCGGACCACTACAAGCGCGGGGCTGAGTGCGTTTTCTGCTGAAAATTGAGATCGCCTCCTCAACTAGCGGTGAGAGTCTCGAAACGTTCATTGACGAAGAAACTCGACACCTGATAAGATATGAGAATGTGCATGAACTCGGAAATTCATCGGCTCCGATCTTGATGGCTCCCTACATGAGCGAGACGCGTGAATGACAGGAAAAGACCCCCCTGAGCATGTTTGGGAAGAAATTGGACAGTCCGTACTTCTCGTGCTCACCGTAGCGCGTCGTAGGAGCTTGGAACGAGATCGAATGTTGCCGACTCTCGGGGGGAGGGCCGGGGGACGCTCGAAGAGCGTGGTTCTTCTTCTTGACCGACGACATCTTCGCATCGAGATACATTGAGGTACATCTGCACTGACTGAGATACGCAGTCGCCGAGAGAGGAACCGTCGAATGCCGCCAAGGCTCTCGTATAGACAAAAGTCATTCATCGGAGCAGTAATCTCACTGAGTCTATGACGTGTCCATCGTCCATACAATGTGCCAGGGGTCATCAACCTGTTCAGGAGCGTGCTTCCGCCGAAGGGCGAGTACGCCCGATTACGGTGCAACAATTCACGGTCGAAACGCAGCAATGGGGCATCTTAAATCTTTGATGCAGGCGCTTCCTATATCTGGCTCTCCTAGATTCGGAGCAGTTTGAGAAGCTTGGTCGGCTTTGAACGAGGCTCAAATCTGTGCGTTCAGATGCTTGTGCCCGAACTTTCTCCTACGCGCGCTCGTTATACGGAAGTCCCGAGACACAGCGGACTCGTGAACTGAATGCATTCTCTGGTTGAGTCTTTGCCTCTCGACACATCATCATCGGATCAGTCATGAGTCATGACTATCGGGACAGCCTCGGGCACATACGGCCGCAAACTCGACGTTCTTGAATTCTGCGCTGTCATCCGAATATCATGACGACACGACGTGCTCATCATTTCAGAGCCGACTCATGATCTCATGATCCCCTCCGGAATCAGCGCAGTGGAAACTCCGTTGTTGTCCTATGCTTCTCGAATTTTCCTGATGTCAATTTTTTTCCTTCCAGGCGACGCCATGGGCTGATCGCGGATCTCGGAATGCGAAAGCATCGTCGCGCGTGGCTGTTCGCCGCCCTCCTTCTCCTTGTTCTCGGATGTTGCGAGGCTCAGGATGCAGACCTCTGCGCAAATCTTGGAGCGACGTGCAGCTGCCGTTCGCAGTCTATAACGTGCACGTCGGCTCCGGACGCCTTACATGCTCTCCAGGAGCTACAGGTCTCTCGGCGGGCTCTCGACGCCTTTTCATGTCCCCATTGCGATCTGCTCGGTTTCATGAAGCTAGACGTGGAGGCCGTCGACGTCAACGTATCAGCCAACAGTATTAAGCGCATCGAGTCGGGATCCGAACGCGTTCAGAATTTAGACGTGTCACACAATCGATTGACATCAGTCGACTTCGTCCGGAACTTCATAAATCTCCGTCGGTTGTTTGCGTCAAACAATCAAATCCACGAGCTGTCGCGCCTCCGACTCGAGAGTCTCGTCATTCTTGATCTCAGCGTCAACGAAATCAGAGAAGTCTCCTCCGATGCTTTCTCGGATCTCCAAAACCTCGCGGTTCTCAAGCTCGACAAGAACCGCCTGGTGCACTTGAGATACGAGTGGTTCTTGCATCTCATCAATCTCCGTGAGCTGAGCCTCTCGTCGAACCAACTAGTCGAACTCAACAATCTTTTGTTCAGGCCGACGACTCGACTGCACTCCATCGACCTGTCGCACAATCGCATCTCACACGTCGGCATGTTGAGTTTCCAGAACCTGAAGTCCTTAGCTCACCTCAACCTGTCCTTCAACGACATCACCGCCCTGCCGGGTGAGTTCTGCAAGTCTTTCGACTCTCTGGAAACGCTCGACGTTTCCGGCAATCCCCTCGAGTCGCTCGCGAATTTCCGATCGTTGCCGGCGAAGAACGTCTCCTTGATCGCTAGGAGGCTGACTTCAATGAAATCCATTTCGCTCAACGACACGATCGGCCTCGAAGGAGTAACTGTGTTGGACCTATCGGAGGGCGAACTAGAAACCATCGAAGCCCACGCTCTCGACCGGTTGACCCGACTCCGAAGCCTCGACCTGAGTCAATGCTCATTGAGTTCGCTGCCGAAAGGACTCTTCTTGCCTCTGGTAGCGCTCAAGAAAATCAATCTGCAAGGCAACTCATGGCGCTGCGACTGTGGTCTCAAGTGGCTCCTCTTCTTCTTCTTCCATCGAAGTCAACTCCAGCTGGAGGGTCCGGGCTCGACTTTCTGTTCGACTGGGGCTCCGTCCGGGAGCTTTGTTAATCTGGCGAGGCGGGAGCGCCTCCTCGACTTCCTCGATCGTCGGCTACAATGCGAGAACGCGACCGTGGTCAACTTCACCAAGACGGCACACTTTCGGTTGGGATCCACCGCAACGCTCTTCTGCGACGTCATCGGCACGCCGACGCCGACGCTCGAGTGGCACACGAAAAAAATCGGTACCGTCGAGACGTGCGGCAACAGCTGCTTCAGGGGCGGAGCCTGCAGCGGTTGCCATCTCGCGCTTTGGACGTGCCGCAGACAGGAGAAAGCATGCGATAACGACCAGTGTCGACGCTCCGCTCAGGATTGTGCGCGTTCTGCGGATCTCGAGCAGGTGGACGGCCGATGCTGCTCGCCTGTGCATTTGCGCAAGGCCATAGACGTGTGCTTCACCCCGGCCGAAGCGGATGCCGCGCAGTGCCTGCAAGAGGTGGGAACGATATCCGGTGCGAATTTTTCCTCGCACCACCTGGAGAAGTGCGTCGAAGATAAGGTGCAATGCGCAATCAAGTGTCGTGAGCAGATGTGCCGCGAGGAGATTCGCGAAAAATGCATCGAGCCCGCAACGAGCTGCGCCCTGGATCTGTTTGCGCACGACACTTTTGAAACGAGCGATAGTTTCAACGAATGCCAGAGCCGGATTTGTACCAAGAGGAACAAACTGTACATATCAGACGTGTCTCGAGGAGACTCTGGGTAAGTTGATCTGATCTCGTTGCGGATTTCTACAATACTTTTCCGAGGCCGACTTCTCTGGCTCGCCGTCGATAGGAATAGCTTAATCATCGATTGTTCAAGCGAGATCATCATTTTCAGGTACTACATGTGCCGAACGTCGAACCTGCTGCAAACTCAGCAAGTAGCCGTACATCTGACACTGGATTACGACTTCATGCTCGATGTCAGAAACTACTCGATATTGACCGGTTTCGTAGTCGCTATCCTTTTCACGCTTGCCACTCTAATAGGTGAGTTATCATAAGTCACAGCAGCACCAAACTCGGAGGAGGAGAGAACAGACCGTCGATTGCCGGGTGATCATATCGCCTATTGCTCCCTCACCGCATACCGAGAATGATTCCTTGATTGATGGGACAATGAGTGAAAATTTTCGGCATCGGAATCCCCGATTCATGTCGTCGTTCTTTCTTCTCGCATCGTAATAGGAGTGGGGGTGGAGAAAATTCTACAGCGTTTTGATCTGAAATGCCCCTGCGATGCGGACGGTCCAGTTCGGAGACAAAATGTTGTCAAGATATTAGAGCAGATCGAAGGCTACCGACGACAAAACCTCGAACGGCTGCGAGAAAACTACAACTGGCAGGTCGCTAGAATCAAGGTGAGTTTGTATTCAATGACATTCTATATGGGATATCTCTTGTCCCGAATATTCCGGGGTGGAGGGAGCGGCACCGTGATTTCCCCCCATGAAAATAGGTTAAGCGATCGAAACCATCCAGCTCTGCAACATTTTCCTCGCCCTCATGTCTCTTTCGCAACCCTTCACAGGAGAACTGCATTCTCCAGATGGATAGAGTGAAGGACTCTTACATAGCTGAACAGACGGGGAAGATAAAATGTTATGGATCATCACAAATTTGGGCGATCAAGGACAACTACATAGGACAGGTAATCCATTCGAATCCGTCGAACAATAACGACCGGCCCATTCAGCGGTCAGTCGTGACCGATGTCATGAACTGTCTCGACCGCACCGGACACAGACAACTCGATGCCGACAACTCGATGCCGACAACTCGATGTCGGACGAGAGGATGCCGGCAAGCTCGATACCTGGACAGCTCGATGCCGAGACAGTCCGATGCCTGACAGCTCGATGCCAGACTGACTCGATGCCAGGATGATCAAGAATCAGGCGAAAGACTTGGACGCCGCTCAAGGAAGAAACTCAGATTCTTATCAGAAAAACTCCTTCTGAGAATTATTCATATTAAGTTACGAAGTATGATTCGTCATATTCAGCTCAGATGTCATCAAGCTTCCATTCTGAAGTTAGCTGCGATTCCTTTTAAGAAATCCACGGCTGTATTGTTACCGTAATCCGTGACGAGCTTGAGTAACTTTCGGTCAACAACGGCGTATTTTCTACGCTTCTTGGTCGGTGGGCTGCCTCTGAGGCAACGGGCTAGCAGCATGTCTCTATGGTGCTGCACCCTCTTTAGGCCGTCGATAAATCGCCACAGGTTCGGATGATCTACTCCGAATTCTGTCTGAAGTCTGCGGTGGGCAGCCTCTGCGTGATTATTCGTTCGTGCCTCGCCGCTCATCGTTCGATTGTAGACGGACCACATGCTCAGAGGGAACATGGGCTCCTTACGTATCACACGTCCCGTCCGACAACAAATGGAGAAGTGAGCCTACGTACGTATCTTCAAAGTATTTGAGGACGGGCATTAACTCCGGAGGCAGGATTGAGGCGAGCTGAGCTATGGCGTTATCTAGTTCCGTCGGCGGTACAAATCGCCAACGCCACTATCATACGTGCATTGAGTCCGAAAGCGTCATAATTTCGGTATCTTCCCATCAGGTGGAGTTCAGCGAGTTTGAGTTTAAGATTCTTGACCAAATGAAATAGACAACCCTGAATTTCGGCTGCGGGAAACTTCGTCCGGAAAGCGTTCATCAGCCCTCTCTCATAGTCCATAGAGACCGCTTCAGGATTGAATGCGGGCCAAGCACATTTAATCAATTCAATCATCCGCGCGTACGAATCTTGTGTCTTATTCGGTAACAATGCATAGCAAATGGGGATAACGAAATCCGCCCGTTCCGCCAATACAACGACAATTTGGTAAAAACATCCCGGTGATAGGCTGAACGTCCCATCGACGTATATCTTGTCCACAAGTCCAATCCAGTCGCCAATCGATTCTCTGCCGAATAAGAGTATTCGCATTCGATCTCCTTCGCCTGGAAAGTATCACCGACTTTCACTATGCATGTGTCTCTCTCAACAAACCAGGCATGAATCGGATATTTAAGTATATTCAATCGATGTGTGTTCGCAACAGTGGTGGGCAATTTACCCGTATCACCAATCAAAAAACGTTCAAGTCGGCCGGGCTCTGATTCGTAGGAAGCGTACTCCGACGGGATAACGATGGATGCGCGGTCCGTGGGGAGAGCGGGAGGTCTCATGGCTTTTCTTCTTGCTCTGCTCACGCTTCTCGACAAGGTCTCACAGCTCGGAAGTACAAGCTGCGTCGCCTGGGAACTGTTTTCGAATACTTTTTCGATCATCTGGAGCGGCGTCTCTTGACTGTCGATCGCTCGGCGTTTCAGTTGGTGTCTCCTTGCGGCTACCTCTATAGCAGCTGGATTGGGCTCATCACTATGCTCGCCCAGGATTTTCATAACTTCGCCCGTAGCGACCGATGTATGTAGGCGCGCCTTGCAGTCCCCTACGAATTGGCATCGCCAGAATTGCGTATCACCGTCCTTGCTTCGTTTTTCCCTGATGTACAGGTGACCTTCGAACTGCATTTTTGGTCGACCCCGCTGGGACAGTACCTGGTTCTCCGTAGCGGACGCCATAGCCCTGATCTGATCCGTTCGGGCGGTGACGTCGGCTCGAAAGTACAAAGAGATTCCTTGAGGTCGCTGGACACGATGAGCTCAATCTGTATTCACGATTCAACGACCACGTTCGAGAGCCTGCGTGCCCGCTCAGGCTGTGTAGTGAACAGCGACGGTGGGCCGATTGGTGTGCGCGTCTGTAATTTCTCGTGCTAATGTGCAAAGCCGCAACGACGCCGACTCCGCTCGCGCTGGAGATGGCGTGGGTTCGATCTCTGCTGCCGGCAAGCACGAAGGTCCGCAGGTCCGCGGCCGAGATCCAACCGGAAACATATGCTCCCGCGATTCGCTCTTGGAAGCGATACCTAATCGGTGATACCGGGACGCCAAAAATTAGGCTGAGCGGTGCGACTCGGAAAATATCTCTCTTTAGGTTATGTCTTCGACATAAGATGTTGCTAGAAGTCATGCTCTCCAACGGCTCTCCACGCGTTCTCTGAGTCGTAGTAGCCCGGCATCGAGCTGTCCTCGCATCGAGCTGTCCGGCATCGAGTAGTCGGCATCGGGAAGTCCTGGCATCGATTTGTCGGCATCGAATAAATCGACATCGAGTCGTCGGCATCGAATTGTCATGTACCGGACCGCACAAGGCCTCGGAGACGGCGTTTATTGAGCTCATACGGCATACCCGGTCAGATGAAAGACCCCTCCCTGGGTTCTCGGTCAAGCTGCTTGAGCTCGTGAATAATAGCATGACTCTGACCTTCGGCAGGTTCAGCGCGTACGAGATTACGGCAACTGTCAAATGGATTGGCTCCGAGAAAATTACGTTTTCCAACGGAATAGAATCCATAAATACTCGAAACATCAGCTGATCCGACTGCGGGAGAACTACAAGCTCCAGCAGAAACATTTGAACAAAATTCTCGAGACTTTACCAAATCTTGAGTCGTGCAGAAAGGGCTTCTACAGCGAAACCGACCTCACAGAGCTAAACTTCACCGCTATGCTCGTACCCCCACCCCCTCCGCCGGAAAGTGTCCTGGAGTTCCCCACGTTCGATGAATTCTCCCTGCCTGACATACAGTCAGGCTTCGGGAGCCAAACAGGAACGATGCACACTCCCGACGACGGCAGCGTAGTCTCCGCGCAAAGCGATTGGAAGTCACGGAAGGCCTACCCGACCATCGAACAAGTCATCCAGGAAAGGTAGGCGAGATGGACGAATTTCCATTGTGAGCCCTCCCCTCTTCGAGGAGGCTCAAGCTGGGGGGAGATCGATATATATTCGTTCGAACTCGGCGCGGGAGAGCAGTCGAAACACAAATAAGGAAAAAAAATTTCCTTCCTGCAGGCTCCTGCCCATCGCAAACGACGCGGCCCTGCGACAATCAGACAGTGACAAAAAAATGCGTGGTCACCGCCGGAGCTACTCGGCTCCGATAACAGACTTCCGAGCCTCTCCGCTGAACGCGTACAGCCATCCTCCGCCATTGGCAGAAGTCCGCCACACGGAAGATCAACTTTCTCCGGAGAAATTGTCGCCATGTGAGAACACGGACTCCAGGACAGAAGACTCTCTCAGCACAGCTAAAACATCCGATGTCCTAGTCGACATCGAGCCAGAGAGCCCCGAGACTGACCTTCAAGCACCAACCCCGCTCCCCAAACAGACTGATCTGTAGTTGAAGAATGATACTTCAGTTCGCTTCGCCTTCTTCGTTCAGGGTTTTTAGGATTTTTTTTCAACTCTTTCCGATTTCGTGATGATGTATATATAGAATAGGATCTGACCAAGAAATAAGGAGAACAGCTCATAGCAGGGTCTTTGCTAACATCTTTCGCTTGACCACCTGCAGCCCTTGGGCCAACCTGCACCTGTTCCAGCTAAAGATACCAATGCTTTCACGTACCGCACTAACTCGATTTAGCGAAACACCCTGTTTGATCTGTAGCTTGCGGGGGCGGCGAATCACCGTCGCTGCTGAAAGCCAGCGCCTGGCATGCGATGCACGTCAGCAATGACAAGCGGAAAAAATAGCGGGAAAATCTAGACGGAGAACTGTCGAAACCTTTCTGGGTGATTCCGTCGTCGAAATCTGTGTTGGCCTACGTGAATGTTCAGGTGGTGAGCATAATCTATCGTGCTATGCTGCCCTTTGCCCCCTCGTCCTCGGCCGTCCTCAGCGGGGACGTTGCCAATGGTTTTGTTCTTCCTTTCCCCAAGGGCATCGGAGGACTACAAGAACCCCCAGGACTTTCTACGAATATGTTTGTTGAACTTCCCGCGTCTCGCAGGAGCATTTAAAACAACAAAGATACACGATGTATAGAGCGGAAAGGAGCAGCTTTTTGGACCTGTGGAAAGAGAAAAATATTTCTTCAGATAGAGGAGAGGAAGCGATAAACTTGCGACTGACCGCGGAGCTGGTCGGACAATTCTTTCTTGGAGCCGCCGCACTCGATGCGAGGACATACGCGAGGGAATGACTCTGTGATAGATCGGAAGAAAATAAAGGAAGATAATATGACGGCATAGGAGAACGCCGCGCCGGAGCCGCAGAAGCTCGATAATTAGCCATGGGAATAATTCAAAGAAAACCGACTCTTGAAGCGGATCAAATTTGAGCGCGGAAATATTTTACAGCTTATTGTTTTTAGACGGTACTCGCTCGCTGTAGCTGACGGTTGAATATGATGATTCAACTCGTTTATCTACTTAGGTGAATAAAACTTATCGTTCCCATGCAGAGTTCCATTCAAGCTTTCTTCTTCCCACGTGAAAGCTGTTCTCTTGCAACAGGACAGAAAGTGTATATCCCAGCTTCTTGCTCCCTGAAGCTAAGCGTAAGATCTGAAAATCTAATCTTGGTAATCTAATTGTCGATCTCATACAATTTGCCGGACGATCTTCCGTGTTGGGGCCATTCTCATAAACGGGACTCGAGAGCATTCGTTCCTAATCCTGGTATGGAGGAAGAAGGTTTGCGAACCCGATGTCAGAGGGTGAAAACCATTTGACCTTAGAGACTCGGACCCTCATGATTCCCCCTCGCCTCGTGGCGCTTCCGGAAGATGAGAACGGTGCCCCAGAGGGCTGCGAGATCCCGCAGAGCATTACACGTGCGTCCCAGGGATGGATACTCATTCCTCGAAGCGGAGCCCATAAGTAGCGGTCTCCGAAATCTCATTGCAAAGCTCCGAATACCTATGCGGCTAAGCTCAACGTCCCTATTACCTCATATACACACCAACACACGGCTACCAAAAAACGATCAGAGAGACTAGTGATCTCGTGAAATCTGGTGGCCCTGAAAAGGGCCGTTTTTTTCAGGACTATGGATGGAATTAACCTCCGAAACCGTAGAGGGTACGTCCTTGTCTTTTCAGAGCGTAGACGACGTCCATGGCGGTGACGGTCTTCCTCTTGGCGTGCTCGGTGTAGGTGACAGCGTCACGGATGACGTTCTCCAAGAAGACCTTGAGGACACCTCGGGTCTCCTCGTAGATCAGACCAGAGATACGCTTGACTCCACCACGACGAGCCAGACGACGGATGGCGGGCTTGGTGATACCCTGGATGTTGTCACGCAAAACTTTACGATGACGCTTGGCGCCACCCTTTCCAAGACCTTTTCCTCCCTTGCCGCGTCCAGACATGTTTCCTCGGATAACAGAAACTGAATGCTCGGCCTCAAAATGGAGTCGTTTATATACGCCCGGAGGGCACCGTCGATCGCTAACATGGGTTCCGAGGGGAGAGGAGAATGGTGCTCTCCTTTCACCCGCCACCGGCGTGAGCGCGCCAATTCCGTGAATTCGTATTTCTAGAACAATATTAGAGGAGCTTGACATCATTTCTGAACCTATCGAATGCGATCTCCTATTATTGAGAGAGAAGTTACCAGCTTTCTTCATGAGCCTAAATTATTCTTTCCGATTACATATTTCGGGGCTCATAGATTGTTCGTTGTGAAACTCCTCCCCAACGCTCCTCTCTCCCATGCTCCAGACCATAAAGGCTCGACGGCACCTCGAGAAACCTTCATTGTCGAAACTAGACTTCGAAGTTCGTTATCATGGCTCGTACGAAGCAAACCGCGCGTAAATCCACTGGAGGAAAAGCTCCTCGTAAGCAGCTCGCCACCAAGGCTGCTCGTAAGTCCGCACCAGCCACCGGTGGAGTCAAGAAGCCCCATCGTTACAGGCCCGGTACCGTGGCTCTCCGTGAGATCCGTCGTTACCAGAAGTCGACTGAGCTCTTGATCCGCAAGTTGCCCTTCCAGCGACTTGTTCGTGAAATCGCTCAGGACTTCAAGACCGATCTCCGTTTCCAAAGCTCAGCCGTCATGGCTCTCCAGGAGGCCTCTGAGGCTTACCTCGTTGGACTCTTCGAAGACACCAACTTGTGTGCCATTCACGCTAAGCGTGTCACCATCATGCCCAAAGACATCCAACTGGCTCGTCGTATTCGTGGAGAACGTGCTTAAGCCAATCGCTTGAAAAAAACGGCCCTTCTGAGGGCCACCATATTCAAAGAGATCGAACCCTGGGGAGTAAGATTAGGAGAACCGGATTTAGCCGACCTGAAATTATTCCGGGTCGATTTCAGTTAGGTAGTTCTCGAAGGTTATTCCATCACCTCGATATTTGATTTATGAGCCCAGCCTCGAGAGCCGTGGCATCACCATTCCGGTGGGCTTCCATGGCACCCATCGCCCTGGGGGAATAAATGGGAAGAATAAATATGGATTTCTTGAATTCGGAGGGCCGTTTGGTGTCTATGGTGTCGGCTCTCAATGTCTTCAGGAGCAAGCATAAACATTTTTGCGCGGAGCGCATTCGCCCTGGACTCCGTCGGGAACTTGCAGTGCTTTGAAATCCACGATGAGGACTGTCTTCTAGGCTCTGGAATGAAGTGATAGACAGACACTGCTAGGGCAAGCGAACCACTCAATCCTCGCGCATGAATCGAGCGGGGGAGTTGGAGCTCCACTCCAGATGGATAATCACCTCGATATCAGATACCGCCGATGTGCGAGAATTTCATACCTCGAGCTCGTTTAGCGATGGACGATATCCGGAAGAACATGTACAGACATCTCACTCAAGCTACATGCCTCCGCATTCTCACATCATTCCCCGACTGCTGATATCGATTGCGAATTCCGCGATTGTAACGCGAGGGAGCCGTATCAAGCCTTCTCCACGGAGAAGCAATCACGGATTCAGCCGTTCATTATGGTAACTCTCCCGAAATTCTTCGGTTGGCCTCCGATCGGTGGAAGCTTCCGTCGAGATTTCTCAGTGGGTATAGGACTCCTTCTCTCGGTCGGCTGTGGATAAATGCTATCTCACTTCATTGAGATCTCAGACGATCCGCCCGGGATGCTAATCAAAGGACCTGCATTGTTATGGGGGTGATGGTGGACCCCATTGATGAAAGTCGATTCTATGGAGTTTCCGGGATATATGTCGACGCATATATATGCGATGCCCTCGTGCGTATATTCAGATGAAGGGGGGAATAATAATAATATATAGATGAGACGAGACCAGACGAAGCTGAGTGGTTTGCAATCTCGTACGCATCGAAAGCCTTGACTAGCGCTTTTTTTGAGAGTATCGCAGATGTGTCTACTTCGATCAGGTGTCTTTGATTACAGCCTTCGTCCCGTCAGAGACGGCAAGCTTCGTCAATCCTCCGGAAAAGAGCCTCAGAGCACTCAGAACTTCCCGGTTTCAGCCCTGGCCTCAGAGGAAACGCCTCGTCGATTTCCCCGGAGTCTCACGGGTGATGGCTCTCGAAATATATCGTATCAGGAAATCTTGGAATCGAGTTCGCGACGTTGACGACCCCGCGTCCTCTGCATATAATTTTGATTTGGCAGTAACATTTTGATCTCGATTCCCGACGGAGTCGACAAACTTGTCTATGCTTCCGAAGCTATCAAGATGAAGGAAGCGACCTCAGCAATGAAATTGAAACATAAATGCCAAGAGTTGGGGAAGAATCGTGATACGGAGCGGGATCGCAAGGGAAGTGGTCAGCCGAGGCGACGCTCTGAGAGGAGAGATCTTTTAAACTAGAGTGGCCCTGAAAAGGGCCGTTTTTTTCCTTGGTGGAGCAGCTTTCCAAGTGCTTACTTGGAGGAGGTGTACTTAGTGACAGCCTTGGTCCCTTCAGAGACGGCGTGCTTGGCCAATTCTCCGGGGAGGAGGAGCCTCACAGCGGTCTGAACTTCCCGGGAGGTGATGGTCGACCTCTTGTTGTAATGGGACAGACGAGAAGCTTCAGCGGCGATACGCTCAAAGATGTCGTTGACGAACGAGTTCATGATCGACATGGCTTTCGATGAGATACCAGTGTCGGGATGAACTTGTTTCAAGACTTTGTAGATGTAGATGGAGAAGGATTCCTTCCTCCTGCGCTTCTTCTTCTTCTTGTCGGTCGCACGGACGTTCTTCTGGGCCTTTCCGGCCTTCTTCACAGCCTTTCCACTCGCTGCAGGCGGCATTATTTAGCTCGGGCTCAAACGAGATTGGGTGTCTAGAGCGCGCTTCTTGTATTTAAGTGATTTGAGCCGGGCGAAAACAGCGCCAACTCCGCTCGCTCTGGGAGAGGGTAATGGTCGGCGCTGCCTGAGCGGCGTCGTATAAAAAGCGAGGGGCACCCCAGACGAGCATTCGTTGCTTTTTTGAAAACGATATTCTGAACATGTCTGGACGCGGTAAGGGAGGAAAGGCCAAGTCGAAGGCGAAGACCAGGTCTTCTCGTGCGGGACTTCAGTTCCCCGTCGGTCGTATCCACCGTCTCCTCCGGAAAGGGAACTACGCCGAGCGTGTCGGAGCTGGTGCCCCCGTGTACCTCGCTGCCGTTCTCGAGTACCTGGCTGCTGAAGTTCTTGAGCTGGCAGGAAACGCCGCTCGTGACAACAAGAAGACCAGAATCATCCCCCGTCATCTTCAGTTGGCCATCCGTAACGACGAAGAATTGAACAAGCTTCTCTCTGGTGTTACCATCGCCCAGGGAGGTGTCCTGCCCAACATCCAGGCTGTCCTTCTCCCCAAGAAGACCGACAAGGCCGCCGCCTAAGTCTCACCATCGGAAGCGGAAAAAAACGGCCCTTCTAAGGGCCACCAAAATCTACGGGATCAATACTCAGCTTATCTCTTTCATCTAATCGCATGATATTCCTCTGATTCTGGCTGCCGATGTCTCCTGCAGAATCCGTAATATTCACCGATCTTCCGTGTCGTATCAATGTGTACTGATGGCGAACTCTTGCCCGGATCAAAGCCATCCTATGTAGGACATCCGAGTAGATGCTTGATGAATTGATAATGACGCGAAACTATCCGAGGATGGAAGAAGTTAACGGAAGAGGTTTCGGCTTGTTTGAGAGAAATCGCGCAAGCCCCCGGAATTTCGATCCGTTTGCGATTCGACATTGATCAATATCAGCAAATGAGTCGCTCGATTATGTGAAGGAAATCGCAGATTTGAAGTCAGCAATCTCTCGATGCGACGATAAATCGACGGACGCAACCAGACCGCGAAAGCATGCTGGAGTTTTCAGGATGCTAGGGAGCCTAAATGGATATCTATTATTCACTGAACGACTCCATTGATGTTCAAAAACATTCTCGGGAATATGCCTTTGGAATCAAACGAATGCTCCGACTGGATCCATGTTCGCCATGTGGGGGACTGCATACGATTCCAAGGATATGTCAATGAAGAAATCATCGATCAAGTCCCATGAATCGTGGTTAGTATATATGAGCGGCCACGTCGAGCTGCAGGCCCCGACGAATGAGCGATATGGTCCACTCTCTGCAGATTTCCTCGACTCTTGTCGCGGATCGAATCTCTCATCGGATCGCATGATCTCATAGGAAGTTTCCCGGAAGAAATGACTTCGCGAGAGGATAGTGAGCTTGTTTAGTTTGGTGGCCCTGAAAAGGGCCGTTTTTTTGCGACCGCAAGGCCGATGGGGAGAGATTTAACCTCCGAAACCGTAGAGGGTACGTCCTTGTCTCTTGAGAGCATAGACGACGTCCATGGCGGTGACAGTCTTCCTCTTGGCGTGCTCGGTGTAGGTGACAGCGTCACGGATGACGTTCTCCAAGAAGACCTTGAGGACACCTCGTGTCTCCTCGTAGATCAGACCAGAGATACGCTTGACTCCACCACGACGAGCCAGACGACGGATGGCGGGCGTGGTGATACCCTGGATGTTGTCACGCAAAACTTTACGATGACGCTTGGCGCCGCCCTTTCCAAGACCTTTTCCTCCCTTGCCGCGTCCAGACATGTTTCCTCGGATAACAGAAACTGAATGCTCGGCCTCAAAATGGAGTCGTTTATATACGCCCGGAGGGCACCGTCGATCGCTAACATGGGTTCCGAGGGGAGAGGAGAATGGTGCTCTCCTTTCACCCGCCACCGGCGTGAGCGCGCCAATTCCGTGAATTCGTATTTCTAGAACAATATTAGAGGAGCTTGACATCATTTCTGAACCTATCGAATGCGATCTCCTATTATTGAGAGAGAAGTTACCAGCTTTCTTCATGAGCCTAAATTATTCTTTCCGATTACATATTTCGGGGCTCATAGATTGTTCGTTGTGAAACTCCTCCCCAACGCTCCTCTCTCCCATGCTCCAGACCATAAAGGCTCGACGGCACCTCGAGAAACCTTCATTGTCGAAACTAGACTTCGAAGTTCGTTATCATGGCTCGTACGAAGCAAACCGCGCGTAAATCCACTGGAGGAAAAGCTCCTCGTAAGCAGCTCGCCACCAAGGCTGCTCGTAAGTCCGCACCAGCCACCGGTGGAGTCAAGAAGCCCCATCGTTACAGGCCCGGTACCGTGGCTCTCCGTGAGATCCGTCGTTACCAGAAGTCGACTGAGCTCTTGATCCGCAAGTTGCCCTTCCAGCGACTTGTTCGTGAAATCGCTCAGGACTTCAAGACCGATCTCCGTTTCCAAAGCTCAGCCGTCATGGCTCTCCAGGAGGCCTCTGAGGCTTACCTCGTTGGACTCTTCGAAGACACCAACTTGTGTGCCATTCACGCTAAGCGTGTCACCATCATGCCCAAGGACATCCAACTGGCTCGTCGTATTCGTGGAGAACGTGCTTAAGCCGATCGCTTGAGAGAAAAAACGGCCCTTCTCAGGGCCACCAAATTCTAAGAGATAATACCTTCTGGCTGCAGAGCTTCGTTTGAAATATCGGACTCCTATTCCAAAATTCAGATGGACCTGACATTCATCGGGGGATGGCTCATACGAGACGCTTGGTAGCCTTGGCCAGATATAGCGATTGGATTGGCTCAGACCTATGGTAGAACGAATTAGATACGAATCGTATGGAACGAATGAAAATTGTAAGTCAACGGATGATCGAAAACATGGTAGCTTTCCCGACTCTCGAGACTCTAGTAGCAGGATTGTTCGTAAAACGAAACTGCAAGGGGATGATGACTAAATCTTCGAGCACCATACTCTGCATGAATGAGTTTTGAGATAAGAATTAGTCGGAATAGTGGGATACCCGTGACTCGCTCTCTGCTCATTGGCAGGGCCCTTGGTTGGAAACTCGTCGGAGACAATACTGAAGGTCCTCCAATCCTTGGATTTCGCATGTCCAGGTCAAATTTTCATTTTCTACTTTTGATATCACTCGGTCGAATCGGAGGAGTATTTCATGCATGGAGAGTCGCGAGATGTAACATGTCAAGGACTCGAGTCTTGAAAATCGCGACTTTGCGCAACTTTTCACCAAGAATTTCGCTTGCGAACAGATATGTCGCCCTGAAACTTGAGTAATGGAAACCGAATGCTCAAATCTCTCTCGGAAGGTCCGAGGACAAGATCTTGATATTTACGAAGGATCGGGCGACTAAGAATTTTAGGGGACGATGCTTCTGAGGAGAGTGATCTTTTGAATTTTGGTGGCCCTGATAAGGGCCTTTTTTCGAGCACTCTGGTGGCGCTCACTTCGACGAGGTGTATTTCGTGACAGCCTTGGTTCCTTCGGAGACGGCGTGCTTGGCCAACTCTCCGGGAAGGAGGAGCCTCACAGCGGTCTGAACTTCCCGGGAGGTGATGGTTGACCTCTTGTTGTAGTGGGACAGACGAGAAGCTTCAGCGGCGATACGCTCGAAGATGTCGTTGACGAACGAGTTCATGATCGACATGGCTTTCGATGAGATACCAGTGTCGGGGTGAACTTGTTTCAAGACTTTGTAGATGTAGATAGAGAAGGATTCCTTCCTCCTGCGCTTCTTCTTCTTTTTGTCGGTCGCACGGACATTCTTCTGGGCCTTTCCGGCCTTCTTCACAGCTTTTCCACTCGCTGCAGGCGGCATTGTTCAGTTCGAACTCAAACGAGGTTGAGTGTCTAGAGCGCGCTCCTTGTATTTAAGTGATTTGAGCCGGGCGAAAACAGCGCCAACTCCGCTCGCTCTGGGAGAGGGTGAGGGTCGGCGCTGCCTAAGCGGCGTCGTATATAAAGCGAGGAGCACCCCGGGAGAGCAGTCGTTGCTTTTTCGAAGACGAAACTGTAAACATGTCTGGACGCGGTAAGGGAGGAAAGGCCAAGTCGAAGGCCAAGACCAGGTCTTCTCGTGCGGGGCTTCAGTTCCCCGTCGGTCGTATCCACCGTCTTCTCCGTAAGGGAAACTACGCCGAGCGTGTCGGAGCTGGTGCCCCCGTGTACCTCGCTGCCGTTCTCGAGTACCTGGCTGCTGAAGTTCTTGAGTTGGCAGGAAACGCCGCTCGTGACAACAAGAAGACCAGAATCATCCCCCGTCATCTCCAGTTGGCCATCCGTAACGACGAAGAATTGAACAAACTTCTCTCTGGTGTTACCATCGCCCAGGGAGGTGTCCTACCCAACATCCAGGCTGTCCTTCTCCCGAAGAAGACTGACAAGGCCGCGGCCTGAGTCTTCCTATCGGAAGCGAAAAAAACGGCCCTTTTAAGGGCCACCAAAATCTACGAGATCGATACTCAGCTTTTCTGTGGAATGATTCGATTGCAGTCCATTTGGTCCTAACCTCCGGAGGCTGCGGGTTATAGCGAAAGATTTGGAGAGGCGACTCCGACCGATCTATTAGGACGACACGTTCCAGAGGCATATGAGTGCTCGCTCCGATATTCCTAAGAATGGATAATCAATTCGAAAATGCTCAAGTGTTGGTAATCCGAAAGGAATAGCGTGAGCACTCGGAGTAAGCATTCGCGGCGGACTTTCGTTTCATTGGTCGACTGCACGAATCACCGGATCGTCTGGGGGAAAAAGCGGGGGGTTCCGATTCTGAGCCAGCAACCCACTAGTCAGCAATTGATATACATAAACCAAGAGCATGGGGCAGGGCAAGACAAACCCGTCCCGGGTAAGGGTCATGAGTAGGGATGTAAATTTTTCGCGGAAAATTTCCGCCAAATTCGCGGCCTCCATTGAAACTCTATGGGGAGTAGCCGGGAATTTCCGCGAATATTCGCGGAAAAATGGTGGTCCGCGAAAAATTTACAACCCTCGTCATGAGTCATGACTTATGAGTTTCCATACAGTATCATGCCGGAGCCTTTTCACTGAGCGTGCTCGAAGGCGAACGACTATAATCGCGCGCATAACAAATCATAATTCTCCTTTAATCGGAGAGTGATGAACAGGTCGAGCCCGTTTGTTCAACGTGGAGATGAGCCTCGCGAGGCAGACCTCCATCTGCATCAGACGCGACCGAAGAAATATAATAATAAGTGATATCATTATAATTGATGATGCTCATCAAATCCTTTGAATCGACGTGCATATCGGCCCTCCTGGAGAGTTATCCACCCCGAAGAGTGTCATGCGGTACATCTTCTACAAATTTTATTCGTCGACAGGCGGGCATTCAATTTAATGGAGAAGCTCATCGGTACCAGTTTGCCAAACGGAATGACTTCGCGAGATAGTGAACTCATGGAATTTGGTGGCCCTGAAAAGGGCCGTTTTTTTGCGACCGCAAGGCCGATGGGGAAGATTCGATTTAACCTCCAAAACCGTAAAGGGTACGTCCTTGTCTCTTGAGAGCATAGACGACGTCCATGGCGGTGACGGTCTTCCTCTTGGCGTGCTCGGTGTAGGTGACAGCGTCACGGATGACGTTCTCCAAGAAGACCTTGAGGACACCTCGGGTCTCCTCGTAGATCAGACCGGAGATACGCTTGACTCCACCACGACGAGCCAGACGACGGATGGCGGGCTTGGTGATACCCTGGATGTTGTCACGCAAAACTTTACGATGACGCTTGGCGCCACCCTTTCCAAGACCTTTTCCTCCCTTGCCACGTCCAGACATGTTTCGTCAGAGCTCGGAAACTGAATGCCCGAACTCTAAGTCGTCTCGATTATATACGATGGAGAGGCACCATCGGTCGCTGATGCGCTTCTGAAGGGGAGAGGGGCATGGCGCGCTTCTTTCACTCGCTACAAAGAGAGCGCGGATTTCGTAGAGACGTCTCTCGGGAACGTCAAATGGGTAGGCCATTTGTCGTAGCTCCTTCTATCGAATCTAGAATATCGAGGTAATAATCGTTGGTAGGTCTCGTGAGGGATCACACACATGGATACATTCTGCTTCCAATCTTCGGTGCCCGTCGGAGTGCTAGTCCTGAAACTCCTCCCCCAATGCTCCGCTCTCCCATGTTCGAGAGCATAAAAGCAACGCGGCTCACCGCGGTACCACCATTTTCGAATCGACCGTTCGAAGCTCGCTAACATGGCACGTACGAAGCAAACCGCGCGTAAATCCACCGGAGGAAAAGCTCCTCGTAAGCAGCTCGCCACCAAGGCTGCTCGTAAGTCCGCACCGGCCACCGGTGGAGTCAAGAAGCCCCATCGTTACAGGCCCGGTACCGTGGCCCTTCGTGAGATCCGTCGTTACCAAAAGTCGACTGAGCTCTTGATCCGCAAGTTGCCCTTCCAGCGACTTGTCCGTGAAATCGCTCAGGACTTCAAGACCGATCTCCGTTTCCAAAGCTCAGCCGTCATGGCTCTCCAGGAGGCCTCTGAGGCTTACCTCGTTGGTCTCTTCGAAGACACCAACTTGTGCGCCATTCACGCTAAGCGTGTCACCATCATGCCCAAAGACATCCAACTGGCTCGTCGTATCCGTGGAGAACGTGCTTAAGCCAATCGCTTGAGAGAAAAAACGGCCCTTCTCAGGGCCACCAAATTCTAAAAGATCATACCTTCTGGCTGCGGAGTTTGTAATATCGGACTCCTATTTTCAAATTCAGATGGACCTGATATGTATTGGGGGAAAGCTCATACGAAGCGCTTGGTAGAATTGGCCGTGAAGAGCGAGTGATTGGCTCAGACTCATAATAAATATATTATATACGAATCTTCAACTTCAGAGAGATCATACCTTGTGTGTTATGAGAGCATTCCTTTCAGATTCTTTATTCGGGAGTCGGGAGCAACATTTTCAGCTAGCCCCAAGAAAGCGCTTTCCGATTTCTCTAGGTCTCATGCATGATGGCGCCCGATAAACACATGCTGAATCAAAAATCCTTATCACAGAGCAAGCGACATCGCACACATCGATTGCTTCGGGAGAACTCAGGATTGCGGAGGAACATTTCGATCTCGACTCGCTACAGAGCCACCAAGCTTGGTCATGTCTTTGGAGCTGGCAAAAGTAGGAGGCAAGCCGGAGTCTCGAAAACTCATTCGGAGAAATGGGGAAAAACTAGATATAATGGTAATCTTCCGACTTATAATCATGTGGACAGGCGCTGTGAGGCAAGTGATCTTTCAAACTTTGGTGGCCCTTATAAGGGCCTTTTTTTGAGGGCTCGATGAGCGCTCACTTCGACGAGGTGTATTTGGTGACAGCCTTAGTTCCTTCGGAGACGGCGTGCTTGGCCAACTCTCCGGGGAGAAGGAGCCTCACAGCGGTCTGAACTTCCCGGGAGGTGATGGTTGACCTCTTGTTGTAGTGGGACAGACGAGAGGCTTCAGCGGCGATACGCTCGAAGATGTCGTTGACAAACGAGTTCATGATCGACATGGCTTTCGATGAGATACCAGTGTCGGGGTGAACTTGTTTCAACACCTTGTAGATGTAGATAGAGAAAGATTCCTTCCTCCTACGCTTCTTCTTCTTCTTGTCGGTCGCGCGGACGTTCTTCTGGGCCTTCCCGGCCTTCTTCACAGCCTTTCCACTTGCTGCAGGCGGCATCGTTCAGCTCGGGCTCAAACGAGGTTGAGTGTTTAGAGCGCGCATCTTGTATTTAAGCGATTTGAGCCGGGCGAAAACAGCGCCAACTCCCCTCGCTCTGGGAGAGGGTGAAGGTCGGCGCTGCCTGTGCGGCGTCGTATATACGGCGGGGAGCTCCCCGAGAAAGTATTCGTTGCTTTCTGAAAACGATACTGAAAACATGTCTGGACGCGGTAAGGGAGGAAAGGCCAAGTCGAAGGCCAAGACCAGGTCTTCTCGTGCGGGGCTTCAGTTCCCCGTCGGTCGTATCCATCGTCTTCTCCGTAAGGGAAACTACGCGGAGCGTGTCGGAGCTGGTGCCCCCGTGTACCTCGCTGCCGTTCTCGAGTACCTGGCTGCTGAAGTTCTTGAGTTGGCAGGAAACGCCGCTCGTGACAACAAGAAGACCAGAATCATCCCCCGTCATCTTCAGTTGGCCATCCGTAACGACGAAGAATTGAACAAACTTCTCTCTGGTGTCACCATCGCCCAGGGTGGTGTCCTGCCCAACATCCAGGCTGTCCTTCTCCCCAAGAAGACCGACAAGGCCGCCGCCTGAATCTTCCCATCGGAAGCGAAAAAAAACGGCCCTTCTCAGGGCCACCAGATCCTAGATGATCAATATCCTACTAAGCGGGTTTTCACTTCCCTCGGAGTCCATCGATTGCGATTCAAATCACTGAGATGAATCGCATATCGTATGATACGCCTGAGATATGGCTCACTAATTTCCACCATCAGCATCAGCGCCCCTTGGATTCCCAATTTCCTTAAATCACGTTAGGTTTGGGGAGAAGGTGTCACTCGGCATGCGATTTGACGAACAGATACTAACCAGCATTGCGAACTGACAGTTGTTTTCGATTTGGACGAGATCTCCACCTGGCGAGAGCTCTAGCGAGACAGGGATGGAAAACTTCTGCGACGGATCGAGAGCGGCTCTACATTCGATCTCATAGTGAGGAGAGCGGACTCCGACCAGGGGCGTCCCGGGTTTATCTAAAAAGCCAGTCTGATGGGGAATCCGGAAAGGAGCCTGTCTCATGATACTGACAGCGGGGCGAATCAATCAGAGTTTCTTGTATGAGCACGGCACGTTCCGGCGAAGCTGAGCGTCAGCGAGTTCAACGTCCCGGAAGTCGAGCTCCATTGATTCATGAGGGCGGATTCTTACCGTATCAAACTTATCACGAACAGGAGCATGAGGATGGGCGCATGCAGACTCCTAACTCACCCACGTGGCACCAATCAGGCGCTCTAGTCCTGAAGCACAAGCTAACTTTGCACGCGGCTCGCTCGGCTTCTGACTACCTGATCGTGGGGATATTCGAATGCCAGAGACAAGGTGATTGGAGGAAGTCGGGCGGAACCATGAGGGTTAAGTGCGGTGATTCGCACACCCGTACCGATGAGGATTCCAGTTTCCGTGCCTTTCGACGCCGTGCGAACACCGCCGGCTCCACATTCGGTCTGGTCGGGTAATCACCGACCCCTCGAGTTCTCACTCCTACTTACATCAATCGATCTCTGACATCCCTCACAGCAATCAGGCACCTCGATTGATTCATCTGTTCAGTATTTTTGCACAATGTCCGCGTTCGGATGATTTTTGTCAGCAGAAGTCGCTGTACTTCATCCTTCACGCCAAGAGAGCTCTTGCGAGCGCAAAATCATCCGGACGTACATCGTGCGGTGCTTGCTATCTAGAAGCACTCGTAGTGTTCAAGACAGACTTGCAAGCACCGGAATCCGAGGCGACCGTGATAGACCGGATCTGATTCGCCTCCCTCCCATACAATTTTCAAAACGGTGTACGAATCCCCCGAAAATTAGGAGATTCTCGTCACTGTTCCGATGGAGCAGTGGTTCCAAGTCAGCGTTCCAACGAGCAGTTCGTTGAAAACACGAGCGACTCGCGATTGGACTTCGTTGAGCGAGATCCGAAATGTTGGCTCGCGACATCGCTTCATCCGGTTCTGATTCGAGACCACGGAAACATCAGCGAAGGTGATAGTTCCGCTCACTATCCAGAAGGACTCGGCGGAGGCAGAGTGAGTTTCTTCCGCTACATCGTATCATTCGGCCGAGCTCAGGCATGATTGCCAAGAGGCAACTTGACGTGCCTGCGAACTCACAACTCCCTCCTTGCAGAGGAGCCTCTGACTTGTCAGTCGTGATCATCCGAAGCTTTCCGCCGATAGGCACGATGATGCGGAAAATGCGTTCACTTCCAAATCATTTCGGAGGGATGACCCGCGTAGATGCCTCATCTTCCTAAAACTCTTCCCAAGACTCCGACTGCTCGAAGCGACTATTCCTGAGAATTCCTCCCGGCTCTTAGCTCAGGCTGGAGAGTTCCGAGGAGCGATTGTCGATTGACGACTGCCTCCTGATCAGGATTGGAGCGAAAACCGCTCTTCATGCGCGTTCCAACCTTTGCAATCGGGGAAGAGCACAATCAATACGAGTTGACGGACTGCAGGGAGTGTGCCTTCTCAGGACCGAGCTCCTAAGAGAGCGTGTACTCCATCTTCCAATTCCAAGCTCAACCCGGGGTCCACGGAAACCCAGTTTTCACTATCGAAGAATAATTGTCGTCCTTGTTTCCTGAGGTTCAGCTGCGACCGCCCCGGTTATCGATTCGGGAAAGTTCGGGAATATTGGAGTCCGAAGCTTACGAGAAATAAGCTTATCACTTCTTATCACTCTCAAGGCTGCACCGTCCGTCGCATATGATAGACTAGCGTCGATATGCGGTTGGAGACGACGTCACTCTAGAGAAAAAATCCGACCCAGAGGCCCAGGGGTAAAGTCCCCGCTAAAGCCGTCACCAGGCGAGGGAAGAAAGGCTGCAACAAAAGATTCAATGCAAATCACGGACATATGGAGCTTATGAGGAATCATCCGGATCGCCCGATTATTGATTTTCCGTACCCGCGGGAATGGGAAGGAATTACGTTTGGAAATGAATCAGGCGAATCTGATTCATGGTCAATGTCCCCCGTGGCGGGGTTCCAACGCTCTGAGGCACTCGATTCCCGTCAGACATTCATTCCCTATGCGGAGAACACTGGTATGAGATTTCAGCTCTCCCTATTGCTGCGAAGAACGGCCGCGAGGAATCTCTCTCTGGGGGAGAAGAGAAAATCGGCTCGATTGTTCCTTTCGCCGATATTCATAATAGGCTCCCATCCGTATAAGCGGTTCCTCAATGACGAAAGCGAACGGAGAGAACAGCCAGGGATCTGCCCGTGAAGGAGTCGCTCGATTTGTGTAGGAAATTCTTTCTCCAGATCGTTCAGATTCTCTCAGAAAGAACAGCGTCTCCGGACCGAGCGCGCATCGATTACCCTGCTGAATATTTCAACAGAATATCAGAGTTCCCATGGTGCTAGGGGGAGACAAGAAACAATGCCTCAGAACGCACATTCCTTGCGGGCTCAGTCCGTGCCTCCTCCTTCGTAGCGACGCCGACGCAGCCATAGGACTCGTTGACTCGAGTACAATTCTCTCGGGAAGATCCGCTTGGACAGATCGGTCCTCAACGATGGACGCGACGAGGAAAGTGTGGCAGCGGAAGAGATACATCGGGTTTGGCTTGAGCTGCTTGGGAGCGATTATAGTGTTTCGGATAGATTGGGATAAACAGCGCACGAAGGCGCTCACCTTAGAGCTGCGAAGCGAATCGAAGTTTTCTCCACTCGACACCTACTTCAAGTCAGTCTACGAGTCTACTGAGACTGAGGAAAATATCGTCGTCCCGATGATAGACAACATAGAAAAACTTGTGGAAACGAAGAGCGACTTGCAAATAGAGTTCGTTGATTGCCGTCTCAGGCTCTGGTTCGAGAAATCGCGTCGTTTGGTTCTGACTAGGGACCACCGTAATTTCGCTGAAGATGACAGTTTCGCCCATGGCCCATCCAGGCTCACCAAACATCGAGTAGTTTTCTTCTGTTACAATAACACCATTTGGAGCAGCAGGAATGACATAGATCAGGCTCTTACGATCGCAGACTCGAAGCTCCCCCGAAGAACAGAAGCCATCGATCTGCTGGTTGTGATTACTCGAGATTTCCCTCGGATATTCAAGCTAAAAAATAAACTTCGGATCTTCTCAAGCCACTTCAGAGAAGTCATTCGTGTAGAGGCTTCATCTGGTAAGGGGCCGCCAGCTCGGTATGAGTGCACCAAACGACTCTTCTTCAAAATTCCATTCGGCTTCAAGCTCAGCTCCGAGATTTCCAAGACGCGCTCCTCGGTGAACGATTGTCTGCGTGATTGGATGTCGCTGGAAAGTCGTCAAGCGTGCCCCTATTTACCCTCAAAAGTGCAAACGATTAGGGATGGTTTCGAATATTACCCCGACACTGCATATAAAGTCCGATTCTACAGCGACTCCGAACCGTGCCTCAATTATTCTGTTTTATTCCACCCTTACATCCGGGCCAATCCCTTGTCGCCGAAAACCCCGGTCTTCCTCGACGGTGACATCACCTCGTATGGCTTCGACAAAGTCATTCCAATCTCAGGTATTCGCGGGGATGTATTGAACGAACTCATCTTAAGCCTTATGGCTCTGCTCGGAGCGTCGCTCTGGTTGCTGAGCGGAACGTCACTCAGCGAAGCGTTCTTGGGCCTACTTTGTGCAGTCACCAGCTCTGGGCAATGTTCTGAGAAACTCCGGAGTCGTGTCGCGTCGGGGGCATTTTTCTGGACTCTGGGAAACATGTTTTTCTCTCTCATTCTCGTCGACGATATGACTTCGATGATCAGTTTCCCGACCGGTTTCCGAATCGCTCGTTTGGGGCAATGCTTCGTCGGGGATCATATTATCGATTCCAAGCCCTTTATGGGAGTTCCATTGGGATATTTTGTGCGATCGATCCTCGATAAAGAGGAATTCCTCAAGAAGGAGGTGATCATCTGCGGCTCGCAGTTCGAGGTCGACGAGATTCGTTCTTTCTTCGATTTCCATAACT